GTTGCTCAAACCCATTGCCGTGAGATGTTAGGTGTGTAGGGAGGTGAATTTTTTTGGGGAGGTAATTTGTGTGCGGGTTGTGTCCGATATAATTTTTTGGAAAATGGTCACAAGTTGTAATGTGGAATCTTATCGGTATTACTTTATATATTTGTAACCTTGTATGATTTTTGGTATCCAGAAACAGGGTCTATAATCAAACCTATATGATGACATTTGGAAACCTTTCCTTTTATATTGATCCATTGAAATTGCATCTAGAAGTTTCACTAACTTTCGTGACATCCCAGTAAAATGTATCCACATGGATAGTGTAAACTGATATTTTGGTAGCACGTCTCAGGAGTATCCACATGGACATGTAGTTTCTCATGTAGTCATTAGTCAGATCAAATTGCATACACATACGGTTTTGGGGACTATAAACTTGGTCTCAGGTGGACAATAAAATTATGGATAGGATTTCATGTACAGTTTTGTGAGATTGGATGTCTATTTGGTCTCAGTTCCTTGTAAATCAACATCTTACGGGTATCCCTCGTGGACGACGTTCCGTGGATAAGATGGACATGGAGAAAGTTAAATTAAAACCAAATTTGTTGTGCCTTTTACACTATATATAGAGTAGATGGTTTTCCAATAAACTTACTGCTCACCTTCAACAGGAATGGAACCTGAATATGGATACTCGAGCGACGAGGCAAATGATAATTCGCTGCCGAGAAGGATAACGGCAGAAACAAAGTTCTACCCTAGTAGTAAGTTAAATCCTAGGCCACGCGAAGAAAATATAGAAATGGTTTCCGATATGAAACCCCCCCTCCAACTGTTGGTATAATCCTTATCTCGTGTCCTTAGTTCAAAATTTTTCCACAAAACGAACGCTTAAAAAGATAAAATGTTTGTATACAGGGGACACCGCTGCCGAATCTCTACTTACCTCGACCGGTTTTAGCAAAGATTGTCAGCAATGTGGCCGCAAATGGCGTAGAAGATCTTAAGAATTGGATCAAAACTGGAAAGGAAGGGAAAAAAGCTGTTTTATCACCGGAGACTTTGGCTGCAGTTAGGTTAGACAAGAGTAGTGATTTTGTTCGGTGGTGCAGACATAGTAGTCCGTATTATAATTTTTACAGCGCGTGTTTACATGTGAAAAATCCGTATGCGGTCTATGTTAGAGGATTGTATCTTGCGTTTAAAACGTGTAACATCCAGGAGTCCATTGAAGTACTCGGATCCATCAAAGACATCTACCCAGTTTCGGAAGTAGCTTACTACATGCTCCAAAGTTGCGATGGTTGCCTAAAAACAACCGACCTCTGTAAGTTGAAGAGCAAGTATCCTTACGAAGACATATCTAGGATGGGAGATGCTTTGATGTTTCACATTTATTCAATTGGTCCGCGCCGTTGGGGTACATACTCCAATACTTGGCATATTAACGATTTTCCATGGTGTTGGGAGCACCACGATGCACTTGGTTAGAATAACGGACAGAGGTGTATGGATTGCATTTACTATTATCTTTCAAGAGACATTTTGCTTTTATCCTAATATTCATTTCAAAGAAAAATTGTAGAACTTCAACTCTTGTTCTTAAACATTATCGTTTCTGTTTATGAATTCTGGATGTATTGAAAAATTAAAATATCTCCCATCTATGTTTGTTTTCAACCAAATTAGTTGTTGTTTACTTAGTTTAACAATAAAGTTCAGTTTTAATCTTATTTGCTATCCATGACTCGTTAAACCACATGTAAAATGCTTTTGGTTCATTGAAAGGCAGCAGGTCTTGTCAACTTAGCTGTCTCCCAATGTAAGTTTCGTGCTGTGTTGGACTTATAAAACAGGTCTTGTCTGCAGTAAGTAGAAATTTGCTGTAATAAGTACATCTACTTTTCGGTAGTGAGTTCTGGGGAAGATAAGTAATTTACCCTTTTATGGAGTACTAAACGGACCGACCATACTACGTTTTACAAACCAAAATTAAATGATTCCCTAGTATTTTTTCACCGTGATCATCAGTATTTGCAGTAGACCTTTTCATGTGGATAGCGTGACATGGATAGTTAAGAGTAGTGTATAATTAGAAACCGAACTTAATACATAATATTTCTGAGAATACTACGTTTCCCAAATACTACGATTTAGAAACCAATTGTTTCCATGTACACTACTACGTTATACAAACAAAATAGACCATACTACGTTTTACAAACCAAAATTAAATGCTTCACTAGTATTGTTGAACCGTCAGCATCAGTATTTGCAGTAGACCTATCCAGGTGGATACCATGAAATGGATAGTTAACTAGAGTGTATAAATAGAAACCGAAGTTCATACATAATATTTCCCAAACAAACAGTCTAACATTCAACAAATGGTTAAGACGGTAACACCGCCGACGGAGAATGAGTCCTATAAGGTAAAGAAAATCTGTAAAATTGAAAAACACTTAATGATGTTGTTATGCTCCTGATTTTTGTTCATCTTACCAGCAATGTTCACGCTTTGAGTTCCACATACCGGCAGCAGTTTTAGCACAAGTAGCTGCGTCTCTCGGTGCAGATGGTACCGAAGCTTTGGCAAACTTAATAAGGACTGGTAGAGAAGGGAAGGAGGCTGTTTTGTCAAAAGAATGTCTTTCTACCGTAATACTGGACAAATCTGAACATTTCATCTGGTGGTGCATGCCACACTCGAAGTACTTCTCCTTCTTCAACAAATGTGTTGAAGCGGGTAATCCTTATGCTAGGGCGGCTATAGACAATCAAGTGATTGCTTTCGGGGCGTTAGCCAGCGAAGGTTACATGGGAGGTAGTTGGTCTCTTACATATTTAGGGAATGCTCCTAATGCAGAGAGGGCAGTTAAGAGACTACTTCGGACTATTGGACGACCTCGTTGCCCACGTTGCGCAAGATTTACCACCTGGCGTGACCCTCAGACTCGCATTCCATAGTGTCCCCATCCTTTCCACAGTTAGAAACATGAAAGTTTATCTTTGGGTGTTATGAGTTCTATCAATTCCTGAATGTAGTGTTTTTTGTACTAATCCAAACGTTGCAAGAATTCGTGGATTCAATATATAGAGTATCGAGGAAACTATACCATAATTCATCGTAAGGTATAATTAGTATCCAGAAAAGCACTATAACCTGAATGTAGAGTATCTATCAATTTCTGAATGTAGTTTATTTTTGCTAATCCAAACGTGGCAGTCATTGGTGGATTCACATATATAAAGACTAGAGAGGTCACTATACCCTAAATCATTGGAAGATATAATTAGTATCCACAAAAGCACAATAACAATACCCTAAATGACAGAGTTTGGCTTCTGGACTAGATAGCAATCTAACTTTCATGTTTCTATATAGCAATCTATAACCTAAAGAAATCTAAGAATAACAATACCCTCCTGATATATAGCAATCTAACTGTACCCTCTGTGGTGGATACACAAATTTCTAATACTCTATTATACCCTAAACTGAGGAATCTATAACCTAAAGCATAGAGTATACACGAAGCAGGGGATAGTTTATTAATGGAACTTATAGAACGTATTAAACTTCATTAAAGGATATAATACACAAATGTATGCTTGCTATGATATATATATTCTATTGCAATCTAACTATACCCTATTTATTATTAGGTATCCACCAACAAACTAAATCGTGGATTCAACACTGAGTAAAATATTTTATATTGACTATACCCTAAACTGAGAAACCCTAAACTTTTTAGGTTTACAAGTAAACCGGTGGATAGAGGACCAGATTTCTATACGCGTGGCCCAAAAAAGGTATTCCATCCTAACCACGAAATCATTGTTTCGTGGTTGTACACTGATTTTTTAGAGAAGTTTCATATAGTGTCTGATTCATTATCGTGGTAAATTTTGGGCAAACAGAGAACCAATGCACCGTGGATACAAATTAAAAACTTCATTACACATAAGGGGATAACTCCCAAAAACAGTGAAAACAAGGGATTCCTTAAACACAAATCAAAACATTTTACGAAAGAAGTAAAATATCTCTAGAAATGTAGAAGTAAATGCAATCCATACAACGCTGGCCGTTATACTCACCAACTGCTTCATGGTGCTCCCAACATGTTGGGAAATCTTCAAAATGCCAAGTATCAGAGTATGTTCTACAGCAGCGAGGACCAATATTGTAAATGTGGCGCATTAGAGCATCTGCTGTTGTGGCTATGGTTTCGAAAGGATACTTACTCTTCAACTCGTAGTAATTTTTTTCTGATAGGCAACCTGCGCAGCTTTGCAGCATGTAATAAGCCAATTCCCTAACTGGGTAGATGTCTTTAATGGTACTGAGGACTAGAAGAGCTTCGTTGATGTCACATGTTTTAAAGGCCAGAAACAACCCACGAACATACACGGCGTAGGGATTCCGGACATATAGACACGCCCCGAAGAAATTGAAATAATCACTCGTAGGCCTGCACCACCGAACAAAATCCCATCTTGTGTCTAACCTAACGGCTGCCAAAGTCTCCGGCGACATAACCGCTACTTTACCTTCCTTGCCCGCTCGAATCCAACTTTTTAGATTATCGATC